AAAAAAAAAAATCGACGATTTCTCAAGTTCCTCTGAAAAGAACGAACGATTGTTAAAAAGTTATTCGCGTCAAGAGGCCCAACGATTGTATTTTTACCCTGCCTTACGTATTTTTTGTAAAAGTGTTTGTAACCGAGAAACATCAACCACAAAACCATATTTATATGTGTATGTATCAAAAACTGACCAAACAAAAAAAAAATCAAGTCTATCAATTATGCCTGTACATCGTCGATACTTTCGATCGAATAAATGTCTGGACTCATTCAATTAAAAAAATTTACGTATCGACGCTCTTGATTATTCTTATTAGTTTTTCATGGCTTTTATTTCTTCATTATTGATGGGGACGTGCAAAAGCTCACCTAATATACGATGAAACGGCACCTTATTTTTCTTCCAGTGCAGTTGACTATGTGTAAATTGAAAAAGTCGTTAGAGTAAAGTCCATCAATCGGCCTTTGCACATCCCTATTTTCAATACATTACACTGATTTCGCGTACACTATTTAATTTTTAAGATTTTGTTTTGTTAAGTTTAACTGTGTAAGATATACATTCGTTCAAGGCCTGTACAAACTGGCTTTTTTTTTGTTTTTTTTGTTTTTATAATTATGGCGTGCAAAATGTAACTTTTTTGTAAACGGAATGAAAGAAAATTCTTCAAAGAAAACGTTTTTTTTTTTTTCTTTTTTCTTCTCGCACAATCTTTATTTTACAAAAATATATGTACATGCTTTCCAACACACGTCCACAGAATCAGCACAGCACGCGTCTCGTAAGTAATTTAACGTCAATGTGCCTACTGTGTCGCGGCCATCATCCGATCGACCACTTGTCATTTTCACAGACGATTCGATTCTCCTTCAAGAGTTTCATCAGGTGATTGTTGACGTTGACTGCTGCCGCCGGCCACAGAGCTCGCAACGTGTCCTGCAAGCAAATAACCACAAGTTGTTTCAAAACCGATTTTATGGGCGAGAGCCATGGGGAGAAGAAAAAATGTAACGAACCGACCTTGTACATGCTTTCGACGATGTCCATAACCACGCAGGGGCCTCTCCTGCTCGTGAGGAAGTCCAGAATCTCGGCCTCCCTCTTGCTCCTGTGGTCGATGTAGGCCCGAATCTTCGAGTTGGGATCGCTCACCACGGGCCCGTGGCCCGGGTAGATCAGCGCGGAACCCACGGCCAAGATCTTGCGGAGGGACAGCATGTAGTCGTGCAGGTCCTCGAACACCGCCGAAGTCTCGCCGAGGATGCAATCGCCGCTGAAAAGGGCCTGCTCCTCCTCCAGCAGGAGACACGCGTGATCCGTGGTGTGGCCCGGGGTGTGGACGGTCCTCAGACTCGCGCCCTCGACCGCGACCACTTGCCCATCCTCCAATTGACGCCAATCCCTGTGGGTGTCTTCTTCTGCCTCGCCGGTCGCCCGGGGGTATTTCCACACCGTGGCCAGGCGCGACTCCATGGATTCCAACAAGCGCTGGACAGCCGGGACCCCGCCCATGTGGTCGTGGTGCCAGTGCGTCACCACCAGGTGCTCGATGGTCGCCCCCTCCTCGCTGAGGACGCTCCCGAGGAGTTTCGCGTACTCGCCGGACGTGTGCTCGTCGCCGGCGTCGATGAGGACGCGTCTGTTCGGGGATCGGCTCTGCGTTAAGTGCGCTCTTTTTCTTTGGCGAAAACGATGATTTTTCGAGCGAGCAATGGGTGAGGAAGCAATGGCAGGGATCGGTTATGAATCAATGGAGCCTAGATCTATACACCCTCGGACGCTCGATAATTTTCGTGACAGGGGTGTAATCACGGTTGTGTAGATAAGCAAGACTTTGCAAGTCATCGGATCATTTTTGGGTTTCCTCCTTGAATGTGAGCAAAACTTACGTGCTTTTGCCATTGGAATTGAATGGCTATAGGTGTCATAAGTGAGTGATCGAGGGTCTAGGTTTTTGTTGGTTCATTGGTTAATAACAATTCCAGTTTTTCGAATCTTTCAAATAAACATTTTGAGGTCACTACAATGCATTAAAGTACCGTTCAGCAAAACGCTCGAATTATTTTGAATTGGTTTCGAGACCTTTTTTCCTTCAGCGCTTTTTTTCAGTTTTTAGTTCAAAATCGATAAAACCCCAAAATGTTACACTGCAGAGTTATTACTTAGACTTGGGTAAATACTGAAAACAAACGCATACATGCGTTTCATGTCTTTACTCGCGTCTTTGTCGAAATAAGCTTCACTGAGAAAACGCGAAAGAGAATACTTCTTAAAAACGCTTTTTTTATCTTCGTTTTTTCGTCTTTTACAACAAGATATCGCCTATGGATCTAAAAATAATCACATTTGGTTCAGATCTCATGGGAAAAAATAAGAGTGGTAAAACCGAGTAAAACCTTCAGTCAATTTTAAATTTTATATTTTAAATCAATTTAAAACAATATTTCTACCGACAGTTCGTGAAAAAATATTAATTTTCTCGTTGCAGCAACCTACAAATGTTAATTGTAACAAATTAATACATTTTTAAGAAAGACTGCTTATGTGCGTAAAAGGCGCGTGTAATACATGTGTAAAACCAGTGTAAAAAAAATTTGATAGCCACACTGATTCATAATTTAAAAAAAATTGTTGAGTATTTTAAGAAAACAGTTTAATACGCGTTCCACAAATAATTCACATGAACGAAATATAGTTTCGTAGTTTGGGGGTAGAGACGCAAGAGCGAGTGATGGATGAAAAACAGCACAAACACCAGTACTACTCAATAGAAAAGAAAATAAGTAGGTATTATCTATACGTAAGTTCTGGTGCGTGCGTTTGCGTAAAATAAAAACAAACAACACAATGAAGTAAATGTATGATAGGTACGTGTATACATACTTGTGTGTAATGACGGATGATCATAAATAGGTACGCATACGCACTTGCAGCCGGTGCCAACCAGATACGTGTTCGTCCCCTGGAGAGTCATCGGTCCAGGATTGCAGCCAAGTATCCTGATAATCTTGGACGAGAGCCGCGAGATCAGCGGAATTGCCGTGAGACTCGTCATGTTTCTAACTATTTGCGGGCGACCCAATGATATATTACGCACTCGTCACTTTACTATCCTATAAAAGTACCTATGTTTACCTATGTGACGTATACATCTTATTTTGACAAAAGCATCAGCTTAGCAGACGACTTGACATAAAAAAAAAACAATAACAGCAGAATCAGGGGGAACACTGTAGGGACGACACGGACCGCGGAACGAGAGAACCAGGCGAACCAGTGCAGATCGGCACTCACTTTGGCGCGAAATTCAAATTTCAAACAATTAAAATCCAAAAATTTTAAAAGTTGTAATTCACGTGACGTAATTACAGCTTTTTAATCCCAAAAACAAAACAATCTGGTCGCATTTAATTGTTAAAAAATGTCAGCAGTTATACTCACCGATAACAATCGCGAGCCGTAATATTTCATTTAATCTTGGCAATTTTGACGAGTAAGTAGATACTCCTTTTTTTTTGCAATTGCAAGAAATCGCATTATATATCTATACACTGTGCGTCGTGTGTCATCAGTGATATATAATTGTACACGCGCACGTATGTGAATGTATCATACACGCTTGAATCTTTCTTCGTAAGATTACGCAATATTTACTATCACCAAACGAAACATTGAACCTTGTACATGTCCATTCAAACTATAAGGTACCTCTGCGTCAGAGAACTCGATCATTTACATAATTCTTGATTCAGGGTTGCGGAATCTAAATAAGCGTGGGCGAGATTCGTCGTTCAGTATATACTTTTACCTATACCAACGCATGAATTTATGTATATATACTTTTGTAAGATCATCGTTTCGCTGCTATACTTGCTACACGCTCCTTGAGGTGCTAGTAGTGTGATTTCATCAAGTTTATGAGTCAATCGAATGTTTTGCTCAAAGATGTATCCATATTTATAAAAAAAAAAGGTAGAAAGTTCTCTTTGGGATACCAATCTACAGTTGTTCGAGCTTTGGATATTTTTTACTGATTCTTGAAGTTGTTGTTCAAGAACAAATAATTCGACCATTGGGTAGGGCTGCATTATCAGTATAGCGTGTGATGGAAACTAGAAATAAAATCTGAATAACACTATACCTTCGAAAAGAAATTATCGATCTCGAAAGGGCCGCACCTATTTCATACTCATCACTTGCGTTTGTAAATATAGGGGATATACCACTATCTACATTATATGTATACAACGTAAACGTGAACTCGTAAAAACCCGTGAAATGTTGAAGTAAAACCCACTGACTCATTTTGCGATGAAAAATTTCACATCTGAATAACCCTGCTGAAAATTAAAAATAAACTTTATCTGGAATACTTACTGTCAACAACAGAGAGGTACACATTATTTTTCACGCATGTGATCGGAACTGAGGGTGTGGATGAAAAAAATAGAAACGAGAAAAGCCCTTTTTTTTCGTTTAGTTTCGAGTACTTTAATGCATTAAAAATTTACAAAGTATTATGTATATATAGAGATTCACGAAATGTTTGGTAAGAGCACTTGCTGATATGACGAGCACCATTACAGGCCGCAATTTTTTTTTTTTTTATTTCGCTTTCAAGGGGACCGATGCTCACGTGCCCCCTCGAATTGCTCGGCCGTTTTCTTTGTCGTTAGTTGTACGTTATACGTTGACTACGAAAGTATATTAATTTAACATGTTGTTTGCTTATTAGGCCTCACGTGTATACAAAGTACTTAAGTATATGGCAGTACACTATCCTCGTAAAATAACCTGCAGAATTAAGTATTATGAGTATATGTAACTTGTCAGACTTACGAAATTAACAAAATTCAGTTTTGTACAGTAAACAGGGAGGCACGATGTTATTTCATAAAATCTGTAATCTGCCAGTAGTGAAACTAAGGAGACAACAAAAGTCAAATGAACGCCTGTTCAGTGTAAATATTACATATAGATATATGAGTATTTGTAAATAAATTATTATTGGAAGACTTAAAAATAAACGACGAGATTAATTCATGTTTTTAACAGATCCGTATATCATATATAATATTAATTAGTTCATTGCACTCGCGCAGTCAGTTATTCCCTAAAAACTACTTGATATATTAATATGAGTTATGAAAGCGATGTTTAAAAAGAATCATTATATTTTATATATAATCAACATTTCGAGTAACAATATTGATAATCGAAATTATTCACGCAACGAAACAAAAGTATATTTATAGTTTCCATCGAACGCATATATACCAATTAATAGAGATGATTGCAGTAGTGTGACACATAATTAATATCGATGGACATAAATCGCCATGGATACTTTTTCTTTTTCCTTCGTTATCTCGACTCTAACTTACTCCGAGCTGTCATTTTTCTTCACCAATAAAGTAAAAAAAAAAGAAAAAAATATATGGTAGTAAAAGTCATGAAAACGTGAAAATGCCTTTTTGTGCTCTAGTCTCAGCGTTTAAAAGTATACGTGTAATAAATATTCAGCGAAATTGCGCGTCTAAAACAATGTGATATCTGTACGTTGGGCGCTCAAGATCTGTTGAGGGGCTGGCACTCGGGAGCCGCCGAGGGCCGGTTCCTCTTGAAGAAGCCGCACTTGTACAGCAGATAGACGAGCAAGAGCAAAATCAAAATACCGATGCACGCCGCGAGGATCCAGATCCACAAAGGCATGCTGTCCGGGGTGTTGATGATCTTGAGCGGCCGGACCATAGTCTCGATCTTGTAGCTGCGCATTATCGGCTCGGTCGGCTTGCCGATGAACGGCTGCGACTCCACGAGGGCCCTCATCGTCGTCGACAGCTTCACGTTCTCGCTCCCCTGAGACGCGAGCTGCCTCAGGGCCGTCACGTTCACCCGGTACTTGGCCGATATGGACACCTCCTCGTCCTTCTTCAGAGGCCCCACGTGGCACTTGAGGTCGACGCACTGCGCCGTCTCGCACAGCGGCTCGCCCCTAAAAATCGCGGGCTCCCCATCCTCCTCCTCCTCCTCCTCGTCGTCATCGTCGTCGGCTTGTCGCGCCGGCCTACCTCCCTCGAGCGAAGGGCTCGAAAAGAGGGCCGAGGTGAGCGATTGTAGCCCCAGGAGGTCGGCCAGGGCGCTTCTCTTCGTTTTCCGACTCGACTTGCCCTTGATGCTCAGATAGTCGGCGTTGGCCGTGTCGCAGGTTACCTTCTCCTTGCTGATCTCCGGCTGCTCGATCAAGTACAGCACGACCTCGTTCGCGTCCGTCTCGGCGGTCCAGATGAGCGAGGTGGCTATGTTGAGGACCGTCGAGGGCCCGTTGTTGCGAATCGTGTAGTTGTGGGTGACGCTCGGGGCGTACTCCAAGTTGTTCATGAGCAGGTCGGGCTCCACGTTGGCAAAGTCGACCGAGTTGAAGTCGATCTCTTGGGGCTTGCTCTCGCCTTCCACGAATATGTCGGTCTCGATCCACACGGGTATGGAGACGTCGAAGAAGTTGTCTCCCATGGTCTCCGGCCTCTCCGGGTTCGTCGAGTTCACCTTCATGCTCAGCTCGTACGAGGGCCTCATGCCGTGAAACGTGATCGGCTGCAGGAGCACCTTGAACTTGACGAGTTTACCCTCGGGCAGTGGATTGCCGACGTCGCAGCGCAGGGTGTTGTTGCTGTTGGCGCTCGGGGCCGTGCACTGGATGAATATCTCGGACGACTCGCTCTCGCTGTCGGTCTTTATGAAGTCGATGCCGACGGGCAGCTGCATGTAGAAAACGGACTCAAAGGCGTCCTCGGCGTTGTTCTTTATGGCCACGTTCAGCTCGAGGATCTCCCCCGAGCCCAGGAGATACTTTTTCACGTTCCTCACGACATTGATGGACAAATCCGGCACGCACACGTTGTCCGAGCCACAATTCTTTTGTATCGTGAGGGCGTCGCGCTTTTTCGTGTTTTTTGGTCCCAAAATGGCCATCAGCTGCCTCCTCGGGTCGCGCTTTTTCCAACTGCCCGCCGCGTGCTCGCCGCCCTTGCCGAGCTCGATGCTCATCTCCGCGTCCAAGGACGTCAACTTGTCCCGCAAGCGCTGAGTCACGTACACCTTGGTTTGCTTGCAATAAGGCTGGTCCTTGGTTATCGGCACCGTCCAGTTCAAGGTGCTCTTGCTCTCGAAGTCCAAAAAGAACAAGCGCGGGTTCTTCCTCTTCTTTTCGTCCAACGAAATGCTTATCGTGAAGTCGTGTTGCTTCCAAGCGCCCAGTCCCGTGTACATGCAACAGATTTTCAGCTCTGAGCAAGCGACCGTCGTGCCATCGGACAGGACGCATGCTTTGTCCTTCAAGTTGATCGAATCCGACATGAAATTGATCTCGGAGAACATTTTGATGACGGGTCTGGACCTGAAGTACATGACCGCGTTGGACTCGTAGGCGCCGACCACCGTATCCGGGTAGTCGTTGTTGTCCAAGTCGAGACCACCACCGACCGACCAGCCAAACGTCCGGACTGGCTGCTCGAGGCTCTCCGAGTATATAACTTGGGAGTATGTTTCCTCGACTCCCTCCTTCGAGCCGTGATACACGTAAACGGCGCCCCGATTCTCCGGACCCCCGTAGGGCTCCCCGACGACAAAGTCCCCGTACCCGTCGAGGTCCATGTCCCCCAGAGACGCGACCGACAGCCCAAACTGGCCTCTGTTGCTGCTCCCGTCCCTGCTGTCGAAATTCTGGTACGGCGTGACACCGCCGCCCTGGTAAAACACGTAGACTCGGCCGGTTTCGATTTTTTCGCCCGCGAATTCGGGCAGAGTGAAGAACGGCGCCGTCACGATGAGGTCGTCCCTATCGTCGCCGTCAATGTCGTTGACCGCCAGGGCGTAGCCGAAGTACGCTCCCATCTGCTCGCCTGTGATGTTCCTGTGGTTGAACAGCTGCGACGTGAACAGCAACACCTTCCCAAGGAGCTCCGAAGCCCTCGGCACCCCAACGGCCACTCCGCTGTCCCCGTCCCCGAGGAAATCGCCCACGCTCACGGAATACCCGAGGTAATTGTTGTCCTCGTGCGCTGGGCCCTCCTTGGTCGCCAGGAGGCTCGACTGCTCGTACGAGGAAGGATAGCCCTCCCTCGAGTCCTTCATCGGGACGAACGGCAGGGTGACGTTGCTCTCGATCGTGAAGAGCTGGCCCTGCCAGTACCAGCTTCCCGGCGCCCCAATAAAGAGCCTCCGGCCGTCCTTGGTGATGGCCGCCCCGATGCCGGCCTGGCACATGCCCTGCCTGTGGTGGCCGGCCGTGTCGTTGTTCCGACACGGTGAGTACTGGGTCGAGTGGCCGTCCGTCAACGAGGTTAGCCAGCACGCCCCGACCACGTCCTTGAAGCCGGCCACGGACCAGTTGGCCTTTATGTAGCCGAACCAGTGGTACTTGGGGGCGCAGGCGAGCAGGGGGCCGCCGTCGAGCATGGACGCGGACAGGGTGGCGCCGAACCACTGGTACGACTTGTCGTCGATGGGCTCGGCCCGCTTGGGGTGCTTGTTCACCTTGACGTAGTCGGCGCCCTTCTTGTCGAACTCGATCGGGAAGCACCGGTTGTCCTCGGCGATGTCGCACCGAAAGACGGCGCCCCCGCGCTCCACCCCCGGCTGGCTGGTCTGGTTGAGGGGGGCGCCCACTATGACCCAGCCCCGGTGGCTCTGGTCCCTGTACTCGGCCACCGAGTACCCGAACATCGAGTGCACGTCGCCCCTGTGGACCGTGTAGTGCCCGGTTTCCACGTTGAACGCGCACACACCGAGCAGACAGCAGTACCCGGCCAAGGCGAGCCTCCACATGCTTGAGCCAGGATGGCCCCGGCCTCCCGCCTGGTACATCGTTGGCATCGACGAGTCTGTCCAGCCGCGGCCAACGCCGTCGAGGCCGACGACGAGACTGCCGAGCCGAGAGCGCTATGTGTTGTGTACTTCACTCTCTTTTATCAATTCACTGATCACCTACTATATTATACAATATACTCGAGGTGCACCGCAAGATATAGGATAGCTTCCGGTAGTTCTTCCGATGCCTGGATAATTTAAATGTACACGGTACGGTGGATTTATTGCGCTATTTTTGCCGCTCGACGATCGTATTCATGTCACGACTTTGATGGGTTTTTAAATGCACCTTTTTCGCCACAAAATAGAACGATTTTTGCCAAAACTTTCGAGTTACCCGAAACACACGCGCGCACTGTCCGCAAATCTATAGCCTACGGGTCAACATTTATTTATAAATGTGTCATATTTTTTTCACTGGATTACTTAATTCAGGAGACTCGAGGACTGAGTCAAGAGCGCGAGCGACGCGCGACTCTCGAGTCTTGTCTTAAAATGGACTTGCTTGCAGTTCTGGGTATAGCTTCAGGCGTATCCCACAACTGTCCGCCCGACGCAAGTTGAACATTCCGCTCGATTCCACTAAAAGTATACTTGTTGAAAGAGACTGTGAATTTTTTTTTTTTTTTTTTTCACCAAAATTCTGCCACGATAATCAGTAAGTGGATTAAATTTTCATTTTAAAATGTCGTGTCGCTGATGGAGTGAACTGTTTGCCGATAACTTTAACGAGAAAATTCTCGATTGTGGGTAGAGCTTTGCACTTTCCATTTCTCTCTCTTACAGATGTTGAGCGGATGTGAGCAGCGCAGAGACTCTCTCTCAGTGTGTCGGTGACGTCAAATTTAAAACAAGAATAAGAAGGTATATGATATTTCGTAACGCTTGTGTGCAACTGTATGCGGGGGCGAGCAAGCGGTCTTCTGGACTAGTTTTTTTTTTTTTTTTCGTGTCCTATTTGTATGTAGTATTTTAATTTTCGTTTGGAAATATTCGGAGAGTACCAATTTTCATGGCAATTTTTCTGTTTTTGATTAATAATTCCAAGCAAAAACAGGATTTCATTATTATACTATAAAAATAAAATAAACGTCAAGGAATATAAATAAAAAAATAAGTTTAATTTTATTGATCAAATCTCTATGCAACATTTCATTATCTTGTACTTACACTTATACACTTATATTCCGTAAACTGGCCGAGTGTTTATGAACATCTAGTTACACATGTTTGCAAGCGACTTGTAATGGCAATATTTTAATCACATCACTCATCCATGTATACATTATGATACAAAGTTATTTACACTGTGGATTATCTTTGGCCAAATTTTATTTTCAATCTTGATGAACTCTTTGATTGTTTATATTGTTATTGTTGAAATTATTGTTGTTGTCATTATATATGTTATTATTTCCGTTTCTGTACGAATCCTCAACAACAATCGAATTACAAAATATGTCATATATTGTTCTGTTGTATTTAAAAAAGCACAAGACGAAACATATTGGAACGAAAAATGCTAGAATTAAATTTTTTAATAAAGATCGCCCTAATGCCGGCAAAAGGCCCAAGTCGGTTCCAGGAACAACTAAAACTAATTCATCTTCTGGACGACCAATTGACGTGACACTCTGACAAAGTACAACTTTTAGTTTCATTATCGACTTTCCTGGAGTGGCTCCCCCAACTCGCCCGTTTCTCCCGTGTTGAAGCCAAGATGCCTAAAGAAACCATTAAATTACTTATTTTTTAAAGAAATGAGTATTCATTGTGTAAAAAAGGCATGTTTTAAATAATCATATTCACCTCGAATATACAAACAAATATTCTATGAATAAGCTCTAGAACCAAGAGTCCAGATGTCAATTCCAATGCCATTTTGTAATCAATTTTCAAGTTTGCATGAAGCATATCAAGATAATACCTCTCAAAGTTTCTGAAATTATAAAATTAATTTTCAAACTTTTTTTTTTCCTCAGATCTTGTAAATATACACCTTTCACTTACATAAAGTCGAAAACATCCACAGCTATAAATGTTATAGACAACTTTAGTATAAACAACAACATGGAATCAATGAATTCTGCAGCCAACCTCTTCCACACTGGTGGTATCTTGTAAGTAACACCTGTAATTTTATTACATTACCCCTTAATCCCTGTTGAAATCAAAGCTAATCAATTTACAGTCTTACCAGTGACTCCAGGTTGAAGTAATGCAGCTGCGGATACTGGTGCAGGTTCAGTAACTCTTCTTTGATGTGCTCCTTCATAATTGGCAGTCTGACTGTTTGGTGGGATATCTGCATTTGCTGTTGTAGCACCAACATTTGAACTTGCAGCTGGGTTAGCAGCTTGAAAAAGTATTCAATACAAGGTATCACTGATGCTAGGTGTATATTCATTATTTAATACAAGATTAATAGTTCTTACCATGCAACATTTGACTAGTTGTAACTAAGTAAGGGAAACTGGCTACAAAACTGTGCCATGCGTATGCATCTAGAAGCCATTTCTCTAATTCATCAAAATACTCGGTTCTCTGTTTACTTGTAAAAACACAGCCACTCCCACCAGCTTCTTCTTTATCACTTTGGCCAACATTTTCGGCCATTTTTACTTATGCCTGAAACAATAAGATTGCCATTAATATATAAACTTATGTATTAACTACTGATTATAATATTCATATGATAAAAATACTGAATCATAATAAAATCATGACTTTCAAAAATTTATTTCAAGATCAAGCACCTGTGATCACATAGAGATCATGACATCAGTGTACTATGCAATAATTTTCACAAGAAAATACAAGTATATACACGACTGCGAGAGCATCACGTCGCGTTAAAAATAATACATTACATGAAAAGTAAATACAGAAATCAGTAGAATTGCTGGTGGAAATATTATTATACACTGTCAATACAATGGATACGTTAAACCGAAATTATATTAAATTCGATCGATGCAATCCCAACAATCCATGCACACTACCGCGTCAAAATTACGTGCTTATATTACTTCAATGCGCAATGTGGCAAACAAATCCCCTAGATTTGACAGCTTACTTTATTTTTTTTTTTTTTTTGACAAACTCTCGAAAGGTGCCAAGTTATTTGATTGTTTTTTATTTTTTACAGTGATTATTTAAAACACTCGAAAAACAAATCATGTAAGCTTGTATTGTCTTGTGTTTTTCTCTGATCTGTCAGCCAATGATGTGATACGCTAAGTTGTAGTTTGTAATATTTATTTAAAGGGTATTGCTTAAAAGCTGCATATGTAACCACAAAAAAATAAGTATTTAATCTTCGCTATTGCTTATAAAATGGTTTTAAAAAATTATTAATAAAAAGTTTCCAATTTGTAACCTAAAAGTGTGTCTTTACGTGCGTCACTTTAAAAACCTTTTACTCAACTGACATAAGGAAACGCTTTTTTTTTAATTAACTCACCGTCACAACATAAAATTTAAAGTATAATATGAAGGAGCTGTTTTTATGAATAAAACACACTTTTTTTTAATTATATATTAATTTAAAAAAATACTTGGCCCTGCACAGATCTCTGTAACAAACGAAACAATACTTATTACCTTGACTGAGTTTATGTATGTATAGCTATAGTCGCGTGGCTGTAATGACGTGGTGACATGCGATAGGAGATAGACGAGCTTGTTGACACTTTGTCACTACAAATAGGTTTGTAAAATGAGCCTTTGAATATTTATGTCATTTCAATTTGTCAGTCACAATCTAATTTCAAAAACATTTTTTATAAAAAAAAAATGGCTTTTCAGAAACATGGAGATTGTTAGTATGCCAATTAAAATTGTTTGTCCATCTGTTGAGGACTTGAGTGTCATTATCAATCAAGTTCAATGTCCAACATGCAACGCGATGTTCAAGAATCATTCACAATTTAGAATGCACGATTTAAAAGTGCATAAGCAGCAAAAATTGGATAAGTGCCACAAGGAAAACATACAGTATCATTGTCCTGTTGATAACTGTGTTTATAGTGTTGAAAATCAAAAGCATTTTAAGCTATACAAGTATTTAAAACAACACTACCTAAAAGTACATGCTGTCAAGCAATTTACGTGTGTTAAATGCACAAAAAGTTTCTCAACCAATGCTGCCAAAGAGGCTCATTTGAAAATTTGTGGTATGAACTTTACTTGCAGGTGTCAAAAAGTTTACAATAGTTATGAAGCTCTCTTGACACATGCCAAAAGAAAATCTCATAAAATAGATCAAATTTACAAACTTACCAAGTAAATTACAATTTTTTACTTCTTAAAAACCATTTGACAAATAGATGTTGACTAACATAATTTATTTTAGGAATAAAAATAAAGTCGCTAATAAAGAAAAAGCATATACCAAGTTAATTTATATATTACCAAAGCCAACATGTGACGTCGCTGTTCAGACTGAAGAAACGATCAAAAAGAAACCAAAGTGTCTTGAATGTGAAATTCCTAGAAAGCAAATTGGCAGGCAAACTCAAACAAATGATGCCACAAAAGACAACCAAAGTAAAATATGTGCTGAAACTCAAACAGCTACGATAATTCCTGGACTAATCAGAGTACACGAGGAGATAAAATATAAAAAAATTGATGAACAATCTATTGAAAGCGAGGAAATTATCCCCCTTCAAACTGAATCACCTAAACACTTGCTACCAGACAGTCTGTTGGTCCTTGAACAAGACGTGGATTTAAAAGACATATGGGAAGAACCTGTCAAAAGTTCTTTTACGTTTACATCAGGTACCCAAACAAGTCCAGAAAAAAATGCGTTTGACGTACGTGAGGACCACGTTGGGCTGTATCCTATGTATCATAGATCATCCAAATCAGATCCAATGCTGACAGAAAAAATATACTCTGACAAATTTAATAGCACAGAAACACAAACCGAGGAAGAGTATTGCCGATCCATTTTCGAAAGTGATCCATTGAGCTCCAATAACGAGACACAGACTCCTGAAAACTTTACGGAATCGATGGAGCCTCTTATTTGTAACGATACGTGCACTCAAACGTGTGAAGAAATTTTTTCATCAGCATTGTCAGATATTCAAACCCAAACAGCGTGGAGTCATTCAGGTGAAATTTCGGCATCTGTTGAATCTCGAACAAAAATTTCAAAATGTTCCAACTGTAGTGATTCAATTACGATTCACATGGAAACGCAAACAGATTTATTAGATATGTTTGAAGATTTAAGATAAATAACGTTATTTGAGTACATAAATAAAAAATATATATTTTATGCAGAAATTTTGTTGTTCAGCTTTTCATTGTTGTAAAACAAATTTTTTACAGTAATACTTTGCAGAATGCGCTTTTTGATAATGCAAGGATTATAGTTTTTTATTTTCATTTTTTTCATTAATATTATTTTATTTGCCATCAAATTAGAAAGCAGAATCACATTCGTCATTTGTTAGTTAATTTTTCGTTTTTGAAAATAATTTTAAGCTTTATAGGATTTGATGCAAAAATTGTAAATAAAAAAATATCCGTAGTCTCGTCGTTTTGCTTTGATCTTTTTCTTCTTACAATGCTGGTCCAGCTGCACTATCTTCATCAAAATCGGGTAAAAAGTCTTTGGTACGATCTTCTATTTTATCAACATTTTCGAGAGCTGATGCAAGCACTCGCAAATTATTTACACCTGACATCAACTGCCTAAGAATTATAAAAAATCGTTTTAAATTTCTGCGAATTAAAAAAAAAAAAAAAAAAAAAAAAAAAAAAAAAAAAAACTCATTTTTGTTGAAATTTACCTTAAAGATACTTCTGCTGTAGTAGCAGCATGCCTCAAATCTTCTGCTAGCCTTTGTATTTTACGACTGGGATTCGCATTCCTGCAACTATTGTTTTCCAATCCCAACGCCTCTCGAAGTTCTCTATTCTCCGACTGCAGCATCATTATTTCGATCTATTGAATTGAGCATCAAAATAGATTATTATTAAAATCATAATTGTGAAATATATTCGAAATTATTATGCTTACATTTAATGACTCCACTTTTTCTCTCAACATTGACACTGTATTTTCCGCATTGATTGCTCTTTTCTAAAACGAACCAAAGCTTTTGATTTATGTTTTAAAAAATAATTAAAAAAAAAAAAATGTAATTATCAACATTTACTTTGCTGTGTTTTAAATTATCTTGAACTTGTTCCATAGCTGCTTCAAGCGCACTTTCAAGGTGATTTACTTGTCTTCGAGACATGAGTTCAGCTTCTAGAGCCTCTATCCTGTAATAAAATTAATTAATTAATATCAGTTTCTGAGCCGTACTTTGTAGAAACTCATACCTAAGAGAACGATCAGCTGCTTGTCTCCTTGCAGTTTGGAGCTCATTAGATAATCTTTCGTTCTCCATGGATAACTAAGTACAAAAATTTCCCAAGTATTGTTTTAATATAATTCAATGAGATGTTTGATCTACACAATATTTACCCAATGGTTTATGGAATCAGTTGAGCCTGAACAATCAGGTCTGTCCGACATAGGAGTACCACGAGTTCTGATTGGCGCATCGCTTAAAAAATCGGGCAAAAGCTTTGTAGAGTTAGCCAATCCTTCTGACAAAGAATCATTTCCAGTTGCCGCCACTTCAGAATTAGAATTTGACTCTGCACCTCGCGATATTTGTAAATCAAATGGAAAACCTAAAATGAGAGAAATGGTTATCTTTTTTTTCCTTTAGAGATATGTTAATTTTACTTTTACCTAGTGATTCGGGCACATCAGCTGACTCTCCATCAATGGTATCCAACTTTGGTAAATCTAAGGAACTTGGATGTGATACATTTGTTGCGAGGCTCTTATCTAAATGGTCAGTTAAATCAAACGAAAGGTCTGACGAGCTCTCGTTATTCTTTTTCCACTGATCATCGAGATATCTGTTCAAATGTCTATTTTTAACACTATTCAGAGCAAAGTCTGGTAAATTGTCCACTTCGCCACTTGATACATTCGAAGAAACCTTATCACCTAAGTAGCACTGTTCAATAACTAGATGATCCTGCACAAAGTCTGGTAGTTCTGTAGGATTCCTAGGATACTTCCCAGTATCATGATTTTCATTTGGTTCCAGAGTTCTTGATTGTGATTCATACACCTTCGGTCTAGCTCCTGCATACTGATGATTTGCTGGATTTTTGTCATTTTTCAAAAACTGTTTCAAGCTGAACATACTCTCTTCTCTTTTATTTGAACTTTTACCTGTGGAAAAAAAAAGCAGAATTATTTCAAGGTTTGAAAAATAGTACCCATGTGCAACAAGTTGCAAACTGTTTAAAACCATCTCAAAAAAAATTAAAAATAAGTGCATCCCATACATGCACATGTACTACATTCACATACAGTGTCAATCAAAAGAAGGCTTCATCTTTTTGATAAACAACAAACATAGACAAATCCAAAATATTAAACGAAAAGAATATCGAAATTAACCTTTGCCTCTAAGCCAACTGCTGCTGTTCGAGGAACAATCGTCGGCCGGTTGTTTGTTGTGCCTGGAGCTGTTACTACCACTGGCAGCGGCAGCGGCGCCGGCAGCTTCATTGTGAGACGAAGATGAGTGTCCCGCGTTATGCTCGTCCTCCGAGTCCGACGACGGGAACATCGCGTAATCGCGATCCTCTGGCCCACACGCAACACGGGCTCCAACTCTTCCGACTCCGATTACTCCTCCGAAGCGTGTGTCCCTTCGATGATGCCCCCACCCCCCTGAGCCTTCGCACGACTTCTTATTTTATTTTATTTTCACATCCAACCACCCCCTTTGCCTCGTCTTGTTTCATTCGACGGTCGACGTCCACCTTTGTCTCGCAGTTACTCTACTATATCACTCTATTTAATTCCCATTTCGTAATTTAATAAGGTATCAAAACATCAGGATCACTTTACTTTGCAAGCACCTCAAACCTCAACTCAACATCACTGACATTTGGTGAACATACACATATCTATAGTACTATACATATCTACACTGTACTTATACATATACTAAACCAAAACCCATCATAAAACAAATAGATAATATAGATATGTATGGTATAGCTTCACCGTTGCACATGCACACATCTGTTCCGCATCTGACACTCTCACTGTAAGTGAAATCACTTAAGTACTTATACTCAACGAATTGAAGGTTCAGAAAGATTCATTATTGTTTCATTTTGTTCTACAAAACCAATCCCATATAATTATGAAGTAAATCAGATTTTTTCCATACTTAATTTTTATTCGACAAAAAAATACAAAAGCGTGTTATACGCAGTTTTTTTTATAATTGTTATCTCATAGCATCGCATGCATACATGACGAATTCAAAGCTTCATTTTAATTTTTTTTAGACCCACGTAACTAACAGATACTTTTTTTTGTGAAACCGCTCACAAAAAATGTTTACTCGCACAATTTGAGTGAATACAAGATTGTGAGTATAAAATATATGTATATTTTATATAAAAATGTAAGTTGATGTTATACAAGGATTCTCGTGAGTATCACTATGATATTTTTACACGAGGAGAGGAATGCCCACGGGTTATCGCTTGACTTGGGGCAGGGCCGGCCTCTTTTTCTTGCGCTGCGTGTTGGGCTCGGGTTCGAAGGTCTCGATTTCAGGGTTGGTCGGATCCTCCTTGTGTCGCTTGATCCTGACCGTGACGTCCTTCAGCCGTTGGGCGAGCTTTTGTCGCGTCTCGGCCAGCGTTTCGTACTCGGGGGCGTAAAAAACGTGGAGCAAGCCGCCGTAGAAGTTGTGCCCGTCGAGGAACCGCTTGGCCACCCTGGCGCTCTGTATGCGCTGGTAATGCACGTGAAACGTCTCGGTGAACTGCTCGCTCGGGTAATCCGGCAACTTTACGAACTGCTTGATCTCGCCGTAAGGCAGGAATTTACCCTTCAACTGACGAAAGAGGTCCAGTGACGGTGTACCGCAGACGATCAGGTGCACCGACTCGTCGTTTATCGTGTACACCTTGACTGCCGTCTCCTTGCGGCCCTTCCTGTACGTTGGCCTCGTGTGGCACAGCTCCTCCTGGATGTGGTGCTCTGGCATTGCGACTGACGTCGACTCCAAGTTCCCGCTCATCGATGCCACGCTGTTTTTGCTGATTTTACAATCAAACATCAATATGCATAAATATGTTAATTGCTCCGCGGTTTATCCAACACATGGTTGGTTGCGTTCGTTTGTCGTTTGAAATTTCGCGCGTCGCAATACATCGAACAAACACTACGTACAGGCCGTTTAATTCGTTGAGCGGGAAGTGTAAAATTGACCAATGAAAGAGGTTATACGATCGAATCAGCCAATGGGAATTAAATGTTTGAATTTCTTGCTCAACGAAAGTTGCAAAGCAGACGGTTTCTATTTTATCTACTTAAGTACAGCCTGTTAATTACTGCATCGTTTTCGGCTGTATTCCGCAAATGCTGCTAGCAGTTATTATGTTACGTAGGTCGTGGTAACGCCGCATGGTCGGGCGTATATAAATATACTTATAGGAGGTCAATTTTCGGGTAAAAGATAAATTGTACACTTGCCGCAAACAGCACAGACAACGTTTATACAACATCTATGCGATTAGTTGCGGCTGGTTTATAATTGATTCAATGGCTTTAAGCTTGATTGCTCTGATTCAGAAATTTCAGAATTTTCGCAAAAAAATGAAGACCGCTAGATGGCGCTGATTCAAATAATTATTACTACTTATAGTAAAGCCATTTAATCGATTATAAGCCAGCCGCAACTAATCTTATGGATAGACAAAAAAAAGTAAATATCGTCTGTGCTATTTGCGGCAAGTGTACAATTTATCATTGACCTGAAAATTGACCTCCAAAAGTATGGATATTCTATACCTATAGGTATATGATACATGTGTTCTGCAACGGTTGGCAACTTGGCAGTGTGTATTTTTGTGTTTACTTTGCAAAATCGGCAGAGAGAGGAGAGAAGAGCAAAAATTGTTTATTTAACTACAAAGTATGCGAGTAACAGCTGATCAACTGTCCAGTTTTCCATCGTTAATATCAATTTGAGTACCTATCACTATTTTGTTGACAATCATTGAGTAACTTTTGAATCTAAGTTGGCACGGGTAACCTATACGAAAGGCACAACATCCTACGTCTATATCGCAAAATTGACTTACCCGACTTGTAGGTGAAAAATCCGTTTGGTTTCAATTTAAGCAGTAAGTGGTTTTCTTTTCAAAATAACTCACTTCAAAGTTTATGTACATTACGGAGATTATGATGTACAGATTATTAGACTAACCAACTAAAGTATCCAAAGTTACCTACTATTAAATTGAGGTTAGGTCAAGCTACGATTCCGACAATAAACCGGGGGAAAATTTGAAAATAAATAAGTAAGTAGCGGCAAGAGTATCATTAGACACGGACATTGACAAATAAATAAAATTGCACTAGTGTAGGCAAAGACTAATCATTATTTTGTAGAAATCTCATTGAACTAAAGTTTTACTTGATATCATTTTTAATTTAGAAAATTTTTTAACTTATTGATGATAAATAATAATATTCCTATATTTCAATAATGTATTGCCAAATTTTTTGTTATCACAGTTCATGGTCGTCACGGAATAACATTTTTAATGATACACCTATATGTTTACGTTATTTGTATTTTTAATGGTGCTCAAATTACGATAAACATCTTGGAATTTTTCATCATATCTGAATCATCTTTGATTGTTTAGAATGGAACATTTACCTTGATATGGTTGAGACATTGATGTTAAGACAATAAAAAAGGGAAAATTAAGTAAGTCATAGTATGTATTACTAACTGATATATTTTATTACGGAAAAAAAAAATTAAGTACAGATAAAAAGGACTGCCAAGTTTTATTATAAATAATCGTTGTTAATACAATTACGGTTTGTTACTTGAACCCTGTTGAATTACAAGGCACTATTAATCGACGAGATTATACAAATATTTACAGCAGTTTATCTCATCATGTTTAATTTATGTCACAATTTATTGCAACCACAAGTGACAAAGACCTTTTTTGCTAGTCACTTTTTGGTTCTTTTCATAAATACACATACGCACAAACATACATATTTACATTTTCATATACGCTCCAAAGAAACAATTGTAAACTTGACACCTCTATTTCTTTACATTGGTGCCACATGCAGTCGGAGGTTGTTTTTTACACGTTTCTATGCCGCGTACACGATTTTACACGCCGCTGCAGGCAGAAAGAGCAGTTTCTGATCCACAGATGTGTAAAATACTTTTTTCATGTAGAATCTACCCTACAGCCTAATTATTTTCACTTTAACGAACATTAATTTTCTCAGTCTCACCAAACATGCAAGTCGCATTGTTGAAGAAAATCTACTTAGTTTATAAATTATTAAGTTGATTCGATAAAAACTTGTTTTTCATCGCTGCCTTCGATCATTTCTGATAGTTGGAGCTTCATTATTTAAGTCTATGCATTTAATATTAATATTTAAATTATCTTACAATTAGTACATAAATAAAAAAAGAACAATACTGTTAGCTAGACGAGTGTTATCTTCTCCTTCGCTGATTCTACGTCGTTCACATTGTTGTAAATAATAATTCATCTAAGAATGTACAATAGCCCTAGCAGTTGCCTTACAAAATGACTATGTGAACTAATTACAATTTTACTTAAAATAGCGCCGTTAAAAAGTATGGTTCTGCATAAAATTTCAAATCTATTCGAAATTTCAGAGAAAATTTTTTTACACAGAGAATTTTTCTGACTCTCAATATAAATGACATTATTTACACAGCAGAAAAATTCGATGTCAAAATACCTACGACTGCAATGCGTTTAAGCTACTTAAGAAAAAAATTTCTTTGATATTTTTTCTTTTTCTCTCAAGACGTGCATTACATATTGTGGTATTAAGGAAATGCAACAATTTTTCAATCTCACAATCTAATTTACAGAAATTATAATGATTTAAAGCCTGGACGTATAAATTTTTCACTTAATGTGATATACATATATATAAATTCTAACACATGTAGAGCCGCATAAGTCTTTTCATTTAAGATTGACAATTAACTAGCTTTGCCCAACATTGACATATTTATCGCAAAACGTTAATTTGCTATTCCATCGGTGCTGACATTTTCCCCTCGTACGGTATTATAGAAGAACGCATAATTTTAACATAGATTTTTCAACAATACATGGAAATTTCGTTCTTCTATACGAATAAGTATTTTTTCGAAAATAGTATTTCTTTGCTGAAACCAAATGCGCATGTTGGTGGAAAAAAAAAAAAAAAAAAATTACTAATCAACTTGATTGGTGAGTTGTACCTTTGAAGAGCGGAATGTCGGCAAAAACAATAAAAATGATGATGATGCCTATATTAGGTGCGCGGTAAAACCGACAATGCGTCTATTACGTTGGATGATGATTGAGTATAAAATAATAATAATAGTGGGTGTGTATATAGGTGTAGTTGGTACAAAAAGAGAGAGAGAGAGAGAGAGAGAGAGAGATGATGATGATGATAAAGGTCAGCGAGTAGTCTGGTCGATCGGTAGAGCAGCTTGCAGCAGCAGCAGAGATGGGGCGTGATGGTGGTGGTGGTGGTGATGATGGTGCAGGTTGTGTCGATGATGCTCGTGATTGTTGTGGTTGTGGTGATGATGGTGATTGTGATGAGGGGGAAGGGGCGGCGGTGGGGGAGCAACGGCAGGGGGGAGCGGCTCCGGTGCAGTGGTTACGGCGAAGGCGGCCCCGGAGCTCGCCTCCTGGTGGTGCAGATTCTGCAGGTGTTGTTGTTGTTGTTGTTGTTGGCCGGTCGCCGTGCAGGTTGGCGCGATGATGCCGGCGGTGGGAGTACCGGTGCCGTTGCTGTTGCTGCTGCTGCCGTTGTTGTTGTTGTTCTGCCCGTTAAGAAACGAGGCCATTTCCATAGGCGACTGTTGTCCGCTCTGCGCTTAGAAACATGCTTGTTCGTTCGTTCGTTCGTTTCGCTTCTTTTGTGATCTACAGCGGTAGTAGCAGAGTCTTTTCAGACCTACGTGTGTCTGTTTTTTTGCTTCCTTTTTTCTTTTTCTTTTGTTTTTTTCTATTTGACATTAAGGTGGCTCAATTCTAAATCGAAAGACCAATAAATACATCTTATAAAAATTATCCCCGGCTGGACACGTGCAATTGTCTTTAGAGTTAGTATTGAACCACCCCAAGTACCATCATAATCGTTATCTTTTTTTTTTTTTTTTTTTTTTTTTATTCTCTTTCGATAAATCGACGTCTCTAAGGGTGGCCGTAGATATGATACATAGGCAGGCTGTATAGCAGAGCGAGAACGTAAGTATATGTAATATTATACATACGGAAGAGAAAAAGAGCGTGGAGAAGCCGGAGGGAAACGATTTTTCCGTAACCCTTACTATTGTTATGATTAATACTACTATTATTTCTTATAGCTTTGCGGTTGGCTCGTTGGTTGACTCAAAGCGTCATTTTTTTTTTTGTAAATTGAAAGTAAATAACACACGCTCGATATAGCATAAAAATGTACACACGATGATTGTTGTCTCTTATTTACAAAAGAAAATATCGTATATGCATGGTTAAAGCAGCGCAACCGAAGAGCCACCGCAAAAGTAAACATATTGAAGCTGCAACTTACAATACATATATTTATATGCGTAATGTTGGTATGCGAGAACCCGTACAGGTGTAATTTCGGCCCGAGCAACCAGAGAAGTACATGTACATACCTATAATACCACAGGTGCCTACGCGATTAGAGCTTTCGACCAACAGCTACATTATTATAAGTACCGAAGACAAGAGAAGATTTCAACAGCAGCAACAGCAGCAACAGCAGTGGCAGTAGTAATATAGTATAGCAGTATAGCAGCAGTAAAGTATTGATTGGTACAAGGAATAGAGAAATGACAGTTGTACGCTAATGTAGTGAGAATGAGAGCAATGGTGATGATGATGATGATAAAGACGGGGAAAGGGAAGAAACAAAAAAAAAACAAAAAAAAAAAAAGAGCATAAATACAAGAGTAAGGGATGAAAGTCACCAATAGCGACGTGACAACGGCACTTTCAGCAAATCGTGTGATATATTATACTCGAGTAGTTTCTATGAGGTACTTTGATAAAGCTGCGTCTGTCGCAACAAGGTTTGTGCTTCATTTACTGACCTTAGGCTGCATCGGGTCCTCGCTCGACTCGAGCCCGGCCAACGGATTCGACGTTATGTTTATCTTCGAGTCTGTTATCCCGCCGTTCATTACCCTCCCGTTTGTTATTGGTTTGCCTGCGTGAAAAAAAATACGTAACCATTTGACCAATGGGTTTTTTTTTTTTTTTTTTTTTTTTAATAAGCGTTGTGTTTATTGGTGGGGCTCGCGTACCCTGATCCTGGGAGGACTCACGGCTCTCCTTGCGCCTGCTCCTCTGGTAGGCGACGCCGATGCCGGTGAGACCCCCCAATAGCACCACGCCCCCGAAGATACCACCGACGATGGCGTAGATGTTGGTGCTCCGGGCGCTCTCGAGGGTATTGACGGGCCGCTCGTTCTCAGCCATGACCTGCGAGACCGGGGCCTCGGTCGCGGGCTTGAGCGTCTTCTGGTTGAGGATCTGGGAGAACTCGGACGCCGCGCCCACCGAGAAACTCTGCACCTTGAACTCGTAGCTCGTGTCCGGCTGTAGGTGGGCGATCGTTATGTTGTCGGCGTCCTTGCCCTCGACCGTCGTCTTCATGTAGTCCCCGGCGAACGAGGACGCCCGGTGGTACACGTAGAACCCGTCGATCTCGGCCGAGCGATTCGTGTTCTGCCACAGCAGCAGCACCTCGTTCGGCCCGAGGGCCTCCGTGTGCGTGAGCAGGGGTATCGGCATGCTGTTGCTCTCGAAGCCGTTCTTCCGCGTCAAGTGGAACCGTACCTGCGAGTACACGTAGATTCATGTGGATGATTGAATCCCCGTTGTAGCAATTGGTCGATGCAATAATGGCAAAACTCACCGATATCGGACTGACGGCGTTGTCGTTGTTGGAGTAGACGGCCGCTATGCGGAACCTGTACGTGTGCTCGGGCTGCAGCTCGCCAACCTCGAAGGAGCGCACGTGGCTCGGGATCTCGGTGTTGGCGGTCATCCACTTGGCTTGCTTGCTGTTGGGCTTTTGGCCGAGTTCCCGGTACTGCACCTTGAAGAAGAGGATCGGCAGGCCCGGGTTGTCCGGCACCGACCACCTCACCATCACCGACACGTCCGACAGCCTCGTGACGTTCGGCTGGTTCGGGGGCACCATGACGTCCGTGTCCTTCTTCTTGCCGTTCTTGCCCCGCCGCCTGCCCCCCACGCGCGTGTGCTTCCGCCCGTTGTTGGACACGGTGTAGTCGTTCCGGGACCTGGAGTTGGAGGAGGAGGAATAGGATCCACCGGCGCCACTGACGTGCTGCTTGGGACTGACCCTGAGGTAATTGTAGCCCGAGTGGGAGCCGTACTCGTTGCTGGCGACGCACTGGACGATGCCCGCGTGTCTCTTCTCGACGGGGGATATGTACAAGCTCGAGCCCCGTATCTGTAGGTTCCGGCTGGGCGCGAGGCTCTCGCCGTTGATGAGCCACTCGAGGTGGGGCGGGGGATAGCCGGTCGCGTTGCACGACAACTCGAGCTCGCCACCCTCGAGGAAGGTCGAGAGCTTCGGGGGCTTGAGGACCGCGGGCGGCTCGACGACCGTCAGGATGATGGCGGACTTGAGCCGGCCCGCTCGGTTCGTCCACACGCAGTCGTACTCGCCCCGATCCGAGGGCTGCACGCTCGACAGCCCAAGGCCCGCCGCCGACGAGCTCGACCTCGAGGGCAACGGACTGCCCAGCTTCGTCCACGTCACCTAACAACCAATCACATTATATAATATACTTGGATTTAATTCCATATACCTATACTATTGTAGGGTATAATATTATGTATACCTGGGGCACCGGGTAGCCCGCGGCGAAGCACTCGAGCGTGACGTTCTTGCCGCGCTGGACGACGTACTCGCGCTGGGGCTGCCTGACAAAGTAGGGCGCGAGCTCGGTCGCGTTGCCCTTGTCGACGCTAAGCACGGTCCTGTGGTTGCTCGCGTGGGTCTCGAAGGTCAGGTAATTGTTCGCCTGGCAGTGGTAACTGCCCGAGTCGGTGGGCCGGGCGCGCTCGATCACCATGAGCCGGCTGCCCGGGCTGCTCGCGTTACCGATCGGGCTGCCGTCCTTGAAGAACTGTATGACGGGCTCGGGCACCGAGTTGGGCGCCGGGCAGCTTATGGGCACGCTGTTGCCCGCCGGGACCCTCAGGTACACGTCGCCGCGGTCCCCGAACTTGTCTATCCGGGCCCGGGTGAGCCGCGCCGGGTCGGAGGCCAATCCGCTCGTACCTGCCCGCACAAACAAGGTGATCACCAATCGCCCGTGTGTTGCACGTAAGTACGGTATACTTGGGCCGGTTCTTACCGTAGAAGGCGACGCACCGGTAGTCGCCGGCTTTGCTCTCGTCGTTGAAGGATACAAAGTGGCTGGAGGTCTTGCCGCCGGCCAAGCTCCCGCCCGAGTCGAGGAGCTTCCACTCGCTGGAGCCAAGGGGCCTGTGCCGCCAGGCAAACTTCTCCGCCGCCAGGTTCAAGCTACACTCGAACTCCACGTCGTCTCCCAGGGGTGCGGTGAGCGGCTGGGGGTGCCTCGTGAACACCATCCCCGGCTCCGACTTTTGACCTGTGATTATTACACGTTAACTTTTTTTTAACCCTCTGTTTAGGGGGTATACCGTATGAATGTTTCAACTCACCCGAGGCGCAGCATCCGAGGGCGCAGAGTAGGACCGCGGCGATGCCGCACAACGTCGTACCCGGTCGCATGTTGGCTCACCCTGAAACAGAAAAGAAAAGTTACATATATATGCATGCAGATCCCAAACCCGCGGCTATGGGAAAAAAAAGACCAATATACAAGACGTTTGCTCGCTTCGTTTCACCTGCCGCCCCCTCGCGTATATACGCATTTTTTTTTTTTTTATCTCTCTCTCTTCTGCCCCCCTTTGGCGTCCTCGTTGGCGCACTCAGCCGAAAAAGAGCCTAAAATTAACGGACGGCATCACAGGGTCGGAAGGGGGGGCTTTTTAAGTTTAGAGAAAGAGCTGCTGATGCGACGACTGCTCGGGTACGGGTCGCCCGCAAGTGAAAATAGAACGCATTCTCGCACGCCTCGAATAGTGCGAACGACAGCGACGACTGAGATCCCCCTCGCGCGCGACTCAACCCTTTTTCCTTTGCTCTCTTTTTTTTTTATTTTTTTTTTTTTTATGATTGTTATTGTCATTCCCCCCGTTCTTTTGGGGCTCACCTATATATATTAACACGCTAGGGGGGGGGAGGGTAATCGCTGAAGCTCTCGCGTGATCCATCGCTGTTGTCCCCACTCCCGAATATACATAAATAATGCTGGAACGAGCTTGAAAAAAGAAAACCTGAAAAATCCCGTCGTCGTAAAAATGCCATTCATTCGTATACCTATAATTACCCAATATCCGGACACTCTGGGTTATACGTATACATACGCGCCACCGTCATCGCGTTAGAAAGGTGACGCGTGTGTTTATAAACGACCTATACGGCGGAGTATAGGCATACGTATGGCCATCCACGTGGTTGGTCCGCTTCTCGAAAGAGCATCGTCTTGTACTTGTATCCACTTAATGTGTAGCGCGTATGGATATTTACGACATTACCTCGAGGTATAGCATCGGAGCGCACGTGGGGACCGAGTGTCGCGTGTGTAATCGAAAAGTTACGGTACAGCCATTCGGAGACACATCATTTTTTTTTTTTTTTTTTTCCCTCCGTTAAACAGAGGCGCGGTGGTGGCCGTTGGATAATGAGAGAAAACCAGATGAGGAGCAAAGAGGGGCGGGATGCGGCCATATACGGCGACGAAAAGCGCGAGCGACCTGTTTACGCCCACGCGCGCTTATACTCTCTCGAGAGAGATCACGTATGTAGGTGTGCGTGTGTGTGCAAGTCGGTTACCGGGAGAGGGATCGGGCCACGGTTGCATGATTATATTTGCATCTTGAAAGGTTTTCTTCTCATTAAGTATCTCCGACTTGGTTGTACCTTTGATTGACGGGCAATCGTTCCCAGTTAATTGAGAAAAGGATCAAAATTAATCCCATTTAACAATATACGGTTTCGTAGTACGCAAGAGCTCCATACTAAGCAAAATTTCGTGCTCAAGGTATACAACTATACGTGAAAACAAAAAAAAATAAACAAACAAATAGAAACGAAATGTAATTTTATTCGAGCCCCCGGGATATGTTGTAAAAATCTTGGCAAAAAATTGGCATGCGCTTTTTGTATGGGCATGAGAACCGTAACAAGTCGAGGGAAGGGGGGTGAACAAACATCAAATGTGAATTGGCGAGAGCAACAAACTCTCTTTTCTATACCAAACTGGCCCGGCTCGCCCTGGCATATATATGGCTGTGCGCGACACGGAGTTACGTCGAAAAGGTGAAAGAGCCGGCGAGGTGGGGGCCCGGCGAGAAAATTATGAATGAAACGAGGCGTAGGTTGTGCCATTGAGGCAAATAAGTGTATAAGTATACTTTGTGCGCGAGAGAAAGTTTATTCCAACTGATGTATATATACCTATAGGCTGAGAGTCGCGGAGAGTTGAATGAGCCGCGGAAATTCGATTGCGTTAGAGAGGGGCAAGGGAAAGTTGGCCCATCCGGCCGTATATATATGATTGGAGGAACACCAGATCTATATGCATATAATAGAAGGAAAATCTCACGTCTCGGCTGCGACGTGTCAATTGTTCTCGGACGCGTTTTCGCGTCTATGATTCGCAAACTTTCCATCCGCTACAGTTTTTACCGCTCAGCCACCATTGTGTCCCATCACGCATCGCGTCCCTTTGAGAACTACCGGCATCTTACCCAGTAGGTATACATACAAGTACATCCATACCTAATCGTTGAAACGGAATTGTTGATGGGAGATTGCCGCGTCCCGTTTTTCGCGCAATTTCGCTAACAACGTTGTACATAATCGTGTTGAAAACAATCATCAAGGTGCGGAGCGTACAGGTACAGTCGCTGTGGTCGGAAATTAATAATACAGGCAATCCGTCAAAAGATCGCGCGGAGTGATGGAAAAAAAAAAAAAAAAAAGGAGATGAGAACGCTACAACGATCCATCTGGCAAGAAAGCATTAGTCCAACGACGGGCCGAACAAACAAAAATCCATCAGAGGCGAGGAGGAGGAGGAGGAGGAAGGGAAAAAAAAAAAAAAATGATACACCACGTATATACACTTGTACGAGATACAGCGGGGAGCGCGTGCCACCTCCTGCATGCGCCCACGATGTTTTTCCTCTCTCACCTATATTTGGAAGGCGCGCGCGCGCGCCTCGCCGGAACTTGTATACGTGTGTACAATATATACATATACGCGCGTGCAGGTACACCTACTTACTATAATTACGAAAGTGACGGCGCACAGGTATAATATAATACGTTATGTAGGAGGTACACCGAGAGGGAGGGCACGTCATAACGCGTGTCAAAAAACCGCGCCCCGGGGAGGAAGGGGGAGACAACAGCGATCGGAAAGAGAGGCCGAGCGAAGGGGTCCCGCGTACGTAACTATATACTATCGACGCTCTTTTTTATCAGAGGAGACATTGGCCGCGTGGGTGGACTCATTCATAGAGAGGTACACGCATATATGTATATACCATGGGTTGTATAATATTGTGTATACGCCTCGACTCGTTTGGCTCCGCTTTCTATCCGTCTTGTTTCTCGTCACAGCTCCGGTATATACTTATATTAGGTGCAGCGGATAATGAGCGAGCGCCCACGCCTGGATTATACATATATTAATATTACTTATGTATGCATGCAAGACCTTGTGTGTGTGCATCAGCCTTTCGAGGTGAACGAGATCCATCACAATAACGGAGCGAGGACTATACTTATCTTCACCTATCGTGGGTAAGAAATGTTTTTTTTTTTCTTTTTTTTTCTTCACAAGCACGTTGCGTTGCATCCGTGTATACAGAGGCTGACTTACTTTTTTTTTTTTTTTTAATTTTAACCCGAGAGGTGCACGCACGCGCGTTCTATAAATAAAAGCGACGAGCACGGGGTGCGTGCATTGTAATGATAATTGAGCGAAATTTCGATGAGATGCATGGATCGCAGGTGCAGGTAAGAAGAAGCGCAGGTATAGCGGAAACCATGACCGAGAGGCGCGCCGTATATATACTCGAGCGGTTCTCGCGCTCAGCGAGATATAGATATCGGTATATAGAGGATTATAAGGTATGTATAAAAAAAACCTTCGGGAAGAACGTGCGTATGTATGTATGTTTTATATTTATGCGTGTGTGTATCGGGAGAATGGCGAGGCGGATAGGGAAAAAAAAAAAATGCTAATCCATCAGCCTATACACACCACGCTCGGTCTGACCGGGCCCTTTCTTTCTTTTTCATTTTCTCTCTCTTTCTCTCTTGACTATATATAATCCACCTGCTTGTTGGGCCCACACGTGTAAAATGTGCAGCCCCGTGGCTCTCCTCCTCCCGTTTTCTCTCGCCTAATTAGATGATAAAGATAGCCCCGGGACTACCCGCTAACCCCGCATATACACGCGAGCGCGCGGTGTATATATACACATATTATTATCATACGTTTTTTATATCCGTACCATCCGTACAATGGTATTTATACGGACAGGAGGCTGGCCCCCGAGAGCCAAGGCGTGATTACGAATTATGTGTATTGTAATGGCCAAGGGCCTTCCTTTCCTATCCAATACATTTCTTTTTTTTTTTTTTTTTTTTCCTGCACATACGATAAAACAACGCGCACCTGCCACTTCATTTCAATCAGATTACGATGAACACGCTGCTTTTCATCATAATGTCACACGATCGAATTAATCTATCTTTTTGATAAATATACGGTAGCAAAATCGTCGCAATCGTTATGTACACGTGTACAAGTGCAAGCTGTTACAAATTATCTTAGATTATCTGTGTTATTTTTAATCTTGTTTTTTTTTTTTTTTTATCGCAGTTGCACATGTAAAGTAATGCGCGTACAGAGTAGAAAGGGTAACGTCGGGTATTATTACAAAAATTACAGCAGTTTCGATAAATTGAGATAGGCCCTGGTTACAAGAAATTCTCTAAATGGAAACGATTTTGCAAACGGTTCCGAGTAAGCGCTACCTATAATAATTTTTTTTTTTTTTTTTTTTTTCACCCCTGGAGGAAAAAACTTGGACAAATAATCGTAAATCATGAAAAAAAGCCGAGTGAAGGGAGGAAAAAAAAAAAAAAACATTCCGCTCAACCGGCGTCAAAACTATAACTTCAAAAGTATGGATCCAATAAACGCGCGTTATATATTATAGCGTATACATATTGGAGCGGGCAAAAAAGAGGCGTTCCACTAAAAGAGATCGAAGAGTCGAAACACGTCGTTTATCGTTTCTTCCACCGGAGGAGAAAAGGTGCGCGCTATATATATATATAGGAAGGGAGAGAGCAAGGGACGAGAGTTGCTCGTTCTCCCCTTTTATTTTTTTTCTATTTCATTTCCCATCCTTTGGTGCCGATATATACCCGCAGGACTGAGAGAAGAAACGATCGAAAGAGAGGCATATACAAAATCTCTCTCTCTCTCTCTCGTGCCCGATTGCCTTTTTGCTCCTCTCTTCCTCTCTTTCGCCTCATATACACACACACACGCGTATAGGTACGCGTGTTTATTCATTATAATATATAACACGTATATGCGCACACGGCTCCTCTCTCGTGTATAGAAAAATCGCTCTAGTGTG